GCCTGCAAAGTTTCTTTTGAGAAGTCAGCTGAGAGTCTTAAGGGAACTTCTTTGTAGGTAACTGTCTCCTTTTCTCTTGCTGCTTCTAAGATTCTCTCCTTATCTTTAATCTTGGGTAATGTAATTATAATGTGCCCTGGTGTGTGCTTCCTTGGGTCCAACTTTTTTGGGACTCCCTGAACTTCCTGGATTTCCTGGAAGTCTATTTCCTTTGCCAGACTGGGAAAGTTCTCCTCCAGTATGTTTTCAAATAAGTTTTCAACTTCTTGGTCTTCCTCTTCTCCTTCTGGAGCCCTATGATTTGGATGTTGGAATGTTTAAAGTTGTCCTGGAGGTTCCTAAGCCTCTCCTCACTTTTTTGAATTCTTGTTTCTTCATTCTGTTCTGTTTAAATGTTTATTTCTTCCTTGTAGTTCAAATCATTGATTTGAGTCCCAGTTTCCTTCCCCTCACTATTGGTTCCCTATACATTTTCTTTATTTCACTTTTCATAGTCTTAATTTTTTCCCCTACTTTGTGACCAAATTCAACCAATTCTGTGAGCATCCTGAGTACCAGTGTTTTGAACTGTGCATCTGATAGGTTGGCTATCTCTTCACCGCTTAGTTGTATTTTTTCTGGAGCTTTGATTTGTTCTTTCATTTGGGCCATTTTTTCTGTTCTTTTCTTTCTTTCTTTTTTTTGGTCTCAGCACACCTGTTACATTGTAAGGGGTAGAGCCTTAGGTTTTCACCAGGGTGGGGCAACCCACATCGCTGCGCTGTGGTGCTGTATGTGGGGGAGGGGTCTGAGAGGGAACAATGACGCTTGTTCGGCTCCTGCCTTGTCACTTCTCCCACTACCCCCAAGCAAACTGGGCCCCTTTGGTGCTGATTCCAGGGTGGGTGGGTTTGTGCACGTTCTAGGACCCTGTGGGTCTCTCCAATGAACTCTCCAATGAGTTTCTCCCACCACCTCAACCACCACAGGTTTTTTCAGTCAGAGGTTCTGAGGCTTTATTTCCATGCACTAGAGCCCTGGGTTGCGCAGTCCATCTTGCTCCCCAGTTGATCCTCCTAGTTTATCTGCACAAGAATGTGGGACTGCCCAGTCCTCCAGCCACAGCCTTGCCTGGTCCTCCAGCCAGCTGCCTTGCAGTGAATTCTTTCCACCCGGCTGCCCGTCTCTGCTCCTCCTACCAGTCTGGGTGAGTGTTTCTTCTTTAACTCCTTGGTTGTCGGACTTCCATACAGTTCGATTTTCTGTCAGTTCTGCTTGTTTTTTGTTTTTAAATTTGTCGTCCTTCTTTTGGATGTGCAAGGAGGCACAGTGTGTCTACCTATGCCTTCGTCTTGGCCGAAAGTCCAAGGTCCTATTTCTTAAAGCTACAGCAGAGTGTGGCAGATAAACTACACTCTTTCTGTTGTGTCACTTTTGCAGTGACTTCTGTTGCCTACATTTTCCAAATTGGTTGGAAATCAATCAATAGAATTATACTAATTCTCACCATTGATTCTGTAAGACACCGACATCCGTTTAATCAATTCTCCTTTTCCTTAAGATTGATAGAGGCTTTTTCTGTTGTCTGCAACCAAGCGTTCTGATACCACACTGAAGCTGCTCTATGATGACTTACATTTAATTCTAGCAAGTTGTAGGCTATGGGGAAATTCTAATATTGAAGGATAAACTGGAAAGTCAGGCAGGAGCCAGCCCTGTAGGTCTATGTGCAAAGGATGATGGGAGCCATCACGGAGGCAGGTGCACATCAACACTTTTCAGTCCTTGGTCATCACTTTGCTCATTCCAGGAACAGAGTATAATGGGCCAGCCTTGGTAGGTTAGGGGTCTGTGGCAGGCTGAAAAATGGCCCTCCAAAATATTCATGCCTTAATGCCTGGAACCTGAGAATGTTACCTTCCATGGCAAAAGGGTCTTTACAGAGGTGATTAAATTAAGGACCTTGAGGTGGGGAGATTATCTTGAATTAGTTGAATGGGACCTAATATAATCACAAGGGTCTTTGGAAGTGGAGATCCTTCCCCAGCTGGGTCTGAGACACACGACTACAGAAGCAGATTAGAAAGCTGTTACTGATTTGGAAGATGTAGGAAGGGGGTCACAGCTGAGAAAAGCAGGTAGCCTCAAGAGCGTGGAAAAGACAAGGAAGTGGGTCTTCCCTAGAGATTCCAGAAAGGAATGCAGCCAGCGAGATTTCTCACCTATAAAACCATGCTGTTTTTAACTCATTAGGCTTGTGATAAGTTGTTGGGGCAGCAAATAGAAAACTAATACAAGATTCCGCACTCTGCCCTCTGCCTCTGCCCTTGAGCTGGAGAGGACATCACTTTGATTGACAGTCCTATCAAGACAAGGCTGCATCTCTTGCAGAATAGGAAGGTTCCTGTCTGAAAAGCACGTGTCATTAGCAAGTGAGGGAATGGAAACACTGAACAAACAAAATATGGCTGCCCACCGCCACCTACCACCACTGACCACCACAGCCCCCTGTACATCATTTAATCAAAAATCTGTCCAGTTGAATTTTTAGGACCAGCAACTGATTAGACTAAATATTCTGGGTAAGAAGTCTTGAGGAAATAAAAAACTTTATAAGGAATGTAAATCCAATATTTATATATGCAATATACACAGTCTGGCACTCAAGTAAGGCCTGCTTGAATATCATTGGTAGGGTAATAATATGGGTGTAATAATTTGTAGTTTTTACTCGAACATTTCACCTAAAATGTCATATGGTGTACCTGAGTGTGATATTGTTATGTTACAGAATTACATGCTTATGATTTTGTAATAAAAAATGTTATTTGTGCTGGACCCTGTATCTTTATATATATATATATATATATATATATATACATATATATATATATATACATATATATATATATATATATATATATATATATATATATATATATCTTTATATATAACTGCATCTTAAAAATTCCAAATTCTGAGGCTGTTGGCCGGGTAGCTCAGTTGGTTAAAGGGCGATCCTGATACGCCAAGGTTGCAGGTTCAATTCCTGGCCAGGGCACACACAAGAATCAACCAATGGACACATAAATAAATGGAACAACAAAATAGATACTTCTCTCCCCCTTCTTCCTCCCTCTAAAATCACTAAAGAAAAATCCAAATTTTGTCATAAAGGTTTTCATGGAACCTGAAAAGGACTAATTCCTCTTCAGTAAAGATGTAGTTAATTCGGCCAGCTGCCGCCTTCGTTCTTAGACACACGGACCTGTTCCATAAAAAGAATCACTGGCTTAGTCACTGCTGACTTAGCTGCTGATAAATGAGAGGTACTAATGGAGACCTACTCAGAAGCAAATAAGATGAAAGTGACAGGCTACCAATCTAAGAAGTCACAACATAATCAAGAGAGACAACAAAACTTACTGTATCTGTCCCCAAACCTGGATGTGCTCAGTTAAGGTTACGAGAAGATCAGAGAAAAGTGATACAAGTCAAGCAATTGGAAAAGCCAGGGCTGATGTCCAACATACTCTCAGCTTTTGAACCTTTGGTCTGACCAGGTAACCGTCTAACAGCAAGCAGCAAAAATTTTGCTTTGGAACATGGTAGAATATGACTCTAAAGGGGTCATTATTGCCAGCTCATAATTCAGTTCAGCAGGTTTTGGCTCATAAAAGTATTCTGGGGCATTTAAGGAGATCTATGGTCAGGTGGTTGTTAAGTTATCTTGGACACCCTTCAAGGTGAGTCACTGTCCAGGTTGAAAACAGTTTTGACTGTAAGCATACCCTTAGGGGTTTGTGTACTTCCCCATTTATCCTTCTGTTGTTAGGATTTGTGAGGGCTGAGAGGAAGGGGTTCCCACCCCAGAAACTCCGGCTAGGTAAGTTCCAAAGGAGATAATTCTATGAGAGCTTTTCTCAGTCCCAGCCATATGTTAGAATTACCCGGGAAGTTAACAGGAGTGTCCAACCTGCAGCCTGCGAGCCGCATACAGCCCAGGATGGCTGTGATGTGGCCCAAGTTTACTTAAATTTACTTAAAACATTATGCGATTTTTTGTGTGATTATGTGTTGCAATATATTTAACATGTGGCACAAGACAACTCTTCTTCTTCCAATATGGCCCAAAGATGCCAAAAAGTTGAACACCCTACAAAACAAACAAAAATACCAGTGTTTGGACTCAGAACTCCAGAGTTAGGAAACTGGCATCTCAATACTCTAAATTAAGCTCCCAGATAATCCTAACCTCTGGCCAGCGCCGTCAGGGTTAAGAACCATTGCTTTAGAATTTTCTAGTGTAGGAACTTTATAAGATGTTAGTTTTGTAGCATCCACTCAGGGAGGTATGACCTGACAGTGCTTTCCAAACTTCCTACGCCCAGCAATCTTCATTTTATCTGTGGCAAGTAGTCGGAAGTGTCACAGCCTAAAAAAAATAGGGCTTGAGACAACAGTGGAGGGCTGGGGGGTGGGGTTGGGATGGAGATTATGGCCAACTGGGAAGGGATGTGGAATTAAAAAAAATTTGAGCATAGTCGCCCCCCATCCACCGCTCCCCATATCTGTTTTTCACTGGCTCCTCTACTCTAGCCAGTTTGGGCCTGGACCCCTGAAGGAGGCTTGAATGTGGCAAGGTGCATGGCGCTGGGCGTGGTTGGCTCTGGTTTCCGGAAAATTCCTTGGTGGCCAAGAGGTGTGGGGGAATTGTCTCTCCAGATCGCTTAGCTCCGCTGCTGTGTCCCACCTATGTGCTTCCTTAAGAAGCGTCCGGACCACTCGATTTCTGCTATGGAGTTGTGTCCTCAAGGAACGCCCGTGGCCTTGGCTGAGAAGGGGAGGCTACCAGGCAGCAAAGAGGGAGTGCAGCGTTGATTTTCCCGCTCCCGCCTAGGGGCGGTGGGTTGGACAAAAGCACCTTGGGGCTGGCGTAGCTAGCTACACTACCCTGGCGGCACCCGCCTTGCCTCGCAGCGCCACCTCCCCGCGCCGCGGGCGCTGCCAGGGGGCGGGGACTCGCCGCTGCGGAGGACGGAGACGAGGCGGCGCTGGGCGCGCAACCCGGAGAGGACTGGAGTGCAAGGCCGGTGGCAGCGGGGAAAGCGGCCGCGTGGCCTGGGAGCCAGGCTTGCAGCGCCAAGCAGCCACCGGAGCTGTGGCAGGAGGTGAGTGAATGGCCTGCGTTCCCCCGGCGCTCCTGGTCGCCTCCCTGTCCCCTGGCTGCCTTCACTCTCTTCGTCCTTCCTGAGCCTAGGTTTCGCCCACAGGGACTCCGTGCGGGTCCAGGGAGACACCGCCCGGCTCACGACCCGGCTGCAGCCTTTTCCTGGAGCCTGCTCTGCCCCTGCTCTGCCGCTTCCTGCGCCAGAGCCTTCGCTTCGGGGTCTCCCGGACCCCCTGGGCTCTATCCCCTAGCTCCGTGGGGCCGTGCGAGGATTCCTCCCTGCCCCTGCGGAGGCTAGTCTGGGACGATGCGGGGCCTTTCTTTTTGTTCTTAGCTTGGTTACCCGTATTGGCATCTAAAGTCAAAAGCGTGCGTCCCCAAAGTCGTCCCGGTGCCAGTTCTGTGAACATGATGGGCACCAGAGCAGGGAAAGAGGGCTGGCAGCACCGTTCACCTCACCTCCTTGTCTTCCCTCCACCTCCCAGCCTTCGGCTAGCTCGGCCCGCAGCGGGTGCACACGTTGGCAGCGGTCAAGTCCTGGCAGGTGACCGGGAGCTGGACGCTGGGTCCTGGGACCGCACTGCTGGAGCCCAGGTGGAGCCCGTTTTAGGGATGCTCCAGGTCCCCTCCTGTATTTTCCACCACTGGCTGTGTGAAGAAGGATCTACAGAACTTTCGCTGTGCCGTAAAAATAGTTTCCTGGGTTCATATACTCTTTATATTTCACAACCTGTTTAATAGTTTTAATGTTGGTTTTTGAGGGTTTTTTTTTTTTTTGGTAAAACAAAGTGGGAAAAATACCTGTTTTGATCAATATTTTTTAGCAGAATTTCAGAGTCATTATTGTTTTGAGTTCCATAATGATGCTAGACATTTTCAGATGTCCCATTTTTAAATTTGCTTTAACAAACTTGTGTGGCTTTCACCGTTTTTTGAGATTTTCTTTGTCTGGTTGGGGTCTCCAAGGGCCTATAGCCTGAAATTACGTAAATGTTGAGGGACATTTCTAGGCATGGGTTATTAAGATGTCCAACAGCCTGATGAAATATTTAACAGCTCCGGAGTGACTCTGTTTGGCTTATGGCCATCAGATTGACTCAAATCTAGGCAGTTTTAGTGTTTCAGAATTACTTGGAGCATGAGACCTGGGGAGCAGTGTAATCTCTTGGAGGTCCTTGTGGTCCCCTAGGGTAGTCTAGGTCCTTCTCGTGTCATAAAAGATAAAACTAAGCTCATGCTATCGGGGAGAATAACTTTATTTGTAAATACAAACCAGGCCAGAACTCAGTTTTTAAAGTGTCAGTGGTTAAAAAGACATTGAATTTTTAAGATGTTTAAAAGAAAAGGTTAGCTCTTCGAGATGTTATTTTGTTCTTCTATGGCGAGGTGATCACGTTTGTTTCATCAGTTTTGCTAAAAAAATGAAAGACCAAGGATGAGAGGAAGGGGTGCTGAGGGTGAAGGAGGGGTCAGATTGCAGTGACAGTGCCACCAGGAGCTAAGGATGCCATTTGCTTTCTAGCTGCTGGTCCAGGTACTGATGGGGGATGCAAAGATTTTGGGTTTACATATGTTTTCAGGAGTGAGGCAGAAAGAGCAAGGAGGGTGGTTGACCACTTCCCTCAGCCAGGCGGGCTCGGCTGAACCTGACAACCCTGTGAAGGTGCAGGCTGGGGTTCTGCGTTGAAGCACACGGGGTAGCAGGGCAGAGCCTGGGGAAGCTGCCACTGCAGGGAGGAGTTGGAAGGGTGTCACCAAGCAGGCTGTGGGGAGCAGGGCAGTAAGGCTCCTTGACAGGCACTCAGTGAAAGGGAGCTGGAAGGCAACATGGTCCCCAAAGGCCATCCCTGCCTGGAGGGGCCAGGAAGGAGGGAGGGAGACTGGGATGAGGGATGAGAGTCCCTGTGCCCTGGGCTTTAATTCAGCTGTATTATTGTTATGTTTATCTTTAGAAAATAAGTTGCTTTAGGAAGAGACAAATTTCTTTTTCAATGACCTAACAATAAATTTTCTTTTTCAATGACATTACTAAATAATATCAATAATTGGGGTAAGAAAAAAAAATGCTGCTTTTTGGTAAACAGTCCCTCCTGCCCCTCCAAAGGAAAACTTTGTTAAATTTTTGAAAACATTTGCAGAAGTAGAAAGAATGGTCTTGATATGCTTTTGCTCTCCCATTAGGAAAGTGTGAATGGTATTTCATTTGTCTCCACCTTCCCCCGCCCCCCCCCAAAAAGTTCTTTGATTGTGGTTGTTTTCTTTGGTGGACTTTCAGGTTACTGATGAGGCTTCAACAGAAGAGAGACTTGGCTGGAAGAAGTGTTTCCTAGATTCCCAGAGTCTACTTTGCTTCACACACACATTTCTCTACGCTTTCAGGGGCCGGGGGAAAAAGCATGCCTTCTCAGATTTTCAGATTTTTACACTTTGATCTTATTTTTCTTTCAAACCTTTTAGGGCTGTTTTAATAATACTTTCCCACAGTTAAGATTTTTGAAGATTAATTAGTGTCTGACAGGAAGAACATATGTAAAAATACTATGTAATGTGATTTCAATGACATATTTTGTAGTTTACTGTGGTTTCCAGATTTTTTTAATCATTCTCATTAGTAAAATAAATTTAAACACCTAAAACTTATACACTGTGCTCTGTCAGTTATATCTCAATGAAATACCTTTTTAGCTCTCCCCATGTGCTACTATTAGCTTGTATCTCAAGGCCCAGTTTACATTTAGAGCTGGATTGTTAATAACTGGAAGTAAAACCCTATTTCAAATACTCCCTGAATTTTGAATATTTTTGTCCTGTTTCTGGTCAGATCATATTTTTTTTTATTGAATTTAATTTGGGGTGACATTGGTTGATAAAAATATATAGGTTTCAGGCTTATTGTGTGCTCACCACCCCAAATCCAGTGTCCTTCCTTCACTGTTTATCCCCCTCCCCCCTTGACCCTCTCTGTCTCCACCCACTCCCCTTTCCCTCTGGTAATCACCATGCTATTCTCTGTGAGGGTTTTTTTTTCCCCTTTAATTCCTTCACCTTTTTCACCCAGCCCCTCAACCCTTCTCCCCTCTGACAGCTGTCAGTCTGTTCTCTGTATCAGATCATAGTGTTATTTATTTATTTATTTATTTATTTATTTAAGATTTTGTTTATTTTTAGAGAGGGGAAGGGAGGGAGAACAAGGGAGAGAAACATCTCTCAGTTACCTCACTAACAGACCCCCCCAGGGAACCAAATCTGCAGCCCGGGCACGGACCCTGACTGGGAAGCAGACTGGTGACCTTTCCCTTTTCCCGACAGCGCCGCACTGTCAGGGCCAGAGCACTGTCAGGGCCAGAGCGAAGTTTTTTCTTTGGTGTGGTTCGTGCAGAGCTGACTCCGATAGAACCATGCACCTTCCACAATGGGCTTGCGCTCACCTGTGCTTGCGTTTATCAGTATAACTAATTTGCGCTTTTTATAGGACTCTGAAAGCTTCCTGTCCTGCTTCACATCCATAATGTGTAGTCGTGTGTCAGCCCGCCTCCCTGTGCAAGTCCCGAAGGCGAAGGAGCGCCTCAGGCGCCTCTGAGGGGTGAGGACACGTGACCTTGGACAGAAAGACTCAGGGAGAACGCAGAGGCAGCCTCTACTTTTATTAGCACAGTTAGTATTTTACGGTAGTGGAATAAAATTAGTATAATATAACATACTGTACAATACTTAGCATAATTAGTATATACATAATACATATTTAAGTTATTTTATGTGATAGTTGTATCACTAAAACAGTTGCTGTCCTTCCTTCTGGATAAAAATAAATGTAACTTCTGGGATGCCCATCCCCAGCTCTGAGGAGCGTCTCCTGCACCCGGTGGGATGCATGAACTCCGCTGTAGACAGCTGGTTTCTTATTTTAGCCTCAGATAATTCTTTCACTTGATCATCAGAAGAACCCCATGAAGGCAGGTACAATTAATCTCTCCCCTTTTATAAAAATGAGTACATTGAGACTAAAAAAGGTCACATAATACCACAACAGTCCCTTTCTGTTAAGTAAGTACTTGTTGGCAAGTAAATGTTTGAATTTAACTCTCACCCCAGCCCGAGGACACAGACGTCACGGTTGTCCCTTTGCAGACCGTTGCAGGGGCTGGGAGAGGGTGCACAACTGCCGGGCAGGGCGCCCGGTTGGAAATGGGTCATCACACTGCACGCCCTCTCTTCTTGTCCACCTGCCCAAGTCTAGGTGGGGACCTGGGTCTTCCTTGGGTCTCTTGAGGACAGAGATCTTTTTTTGTCACTTGGGGTCCCTAGTGGTGGGTTCCAGCGCAGAAGAGAGCTTTGGAATCTGTTTAAATGAGCTCCCTTTTGTCCTCTACTTCGTGAATATGCCTGTGATACGATAGTTTTGTTTTAGGGGAGGCTGTAAAATACCTTGATTTAACCTGGGGATGCTGAAATACAGCTCTAGAACTTGCTAATATTACCAATGTATATCTTCCTTACATCTTAATTTTTTATGGTTCCTGTTCGTCTTGCGTATTAAAAATATGCGTATTGAGGAGAAAAAGATTGTATAAAGTAAGAACGAGCGCTTTTCTTCCTCTCTTCTGTACGTTCTACTGTCACCATAGCTTGTACGTACCCCTCCCTTACAGACATGTGCTGTATGTTCATTTATTGAGAGTGTTTCTAAATTTTTTTCAGCAAAAATGGGATCATGTGATAATTAATATTTTGGGAACTTTTTTCACTTGACAGTTTGTATTTTGACTGCCCATTGCTCCATAACAAATCTCCTATAAACTTAAAACCATCGTGTTTTTGCAGCTCAGGGGTCTGTGGGCGCCTGTGCTCAGCCGAGCAGCCCTGCGAGCTGACAGGGCTGCCGTCTTCTCAGGCTCAGCTGGGCTGGAACTTAAAAATGACCCACTGGCTGTTATCAGTATCTAAAAGTATTGCCTTGGCATGTTCTTAGAGCAGATAAAATTATGAACTGATGAGTGACTT